AGGAGTCACACGGAGTGCTGAACCCTCCCAAACGACAAAGATGGGTCCACATGGAAATAATATAAAAAATAAGGAATTTATTATAAAGGTAGTTTTAACAACAAAGTGCAGCAGCATACACTCACAATTCTAGGCACATATAAAAGCAACATTCGAACTTTCTAAAATAAGCGTTCTCAATAAGGGCCCAAAGTAAACGGGGAAGTTAATTAGAAAGATAGTCACAAGTTAGTTCTCTTGGCACCTGCTGGAGTGCTGCTGAATCTGTGAGTGTGCAGGTGATCTGACCTGAGGTTGCCCGACTCATCCTGGAAGTGCCATTGCTCTGTCTAGTTTGTATTTTCAGTTCTACAGGATTCCCAGTTGGTTGAAGGAACCGGGCACCAGAATCTTAAAGCAGAGGTTTCAGGATTTCAAAACCTGCTCCTGGTGCCCTTTCGCTTACTAATTATCTCAATGCCATTGTTGCAACCTAGCTTCCTGAGGAGGAGTGAATTGTTATGTATCCTCCTGACCTAGCTGGCAAGAAGGTCAGCGATAGAGACGACAGTTACAACGCTGAATGTAATCTTACAAGACGGCAGGAGGGTCGTTTCCTACGGCCATCCACTTCAGCCAAACCTGTCTTTGGTTCACTCCTGAACACAAATTGGGGCAACAGCAGAAGCCTCCTTGCTGCTGTTTGTGTGGCTGTGACTTGCACTGCCCCTTTAATAATCCAGCTGCCTAGTACGGGCTTCGCAGGTACACTCTAGATAGTCTCTGCTTTCTGCCCTCTGAGCTATGGTAAAAGGCTGGAAGATGTGCTGCTGCAATCGATTGAAGGATTAAACAAAGTGGGCTGTATGTTGGCTGTCTAGCATCCGGAAGCAGCGCTAATAAGCCTTGCACCTGCTTTTCTAGCTCCCTGCTCCTCAGCCAAGCCCACTGCCTACTTCAGTTATGCACCATTCATCGTTTTCCTAGTTTAAGCTCAACATGCACCAGTTCTCCTGAGACCTTGAAGCTGGAGTCAGTTGGGGATAACATGTATTGTTATCCAGATTTGTCATTTTATATAGCATCATTCTTTTTTAATAACACTCCAATTAATAACATATCAAATCTTGCAACATCATAATACAAATAATAAAACCAATTATACATTCCAAATTATATTATTTAAAAAGACTTCCCATGTTCTGGCTGGTCAGGAGAAAATCTTTTGTTTCTCGTTCCTGCACGCGAGTAGGAGCTGGAGGGGCTGCTCAGCTGGGGAGGTGCAGGCTCCGTCACACTTTCCATTGAGGGGTTCACGGCTGGGGGCTCCTTTAAACTTCGACCCTCAAAGGAGCCCCCATGTCAGCATCAGAGCCCCTGCATCACCTGAAGGCAGCCAAGCAGAATAGTTGCTGGGGTGGCGGAGGTGGAGGCAGCCAGGCAGCAGCGTCTGAGAGCCCCTAAACTGCTGCTGAGGCAGCTGTCGGGCTGTCTCCGCATGGCCACCGATGCTCCTTTCAACTTCTCTGTTGAGGTGAATGCAGCCACGCACCCCTCAATGGAAAAGTGTGACGGAGCCTGCACCTCCCCAGCTGAGCAGCCCCATCCAGCTCCTACTCCGTGCAAGCAGGAGTTGGGGCACTCAAAACGGAAGTGTGGCACGGAAAAAGGAAGTGTAACACTCAAAGCAAACAGTTCAGATTCCGAAAAAAGTTCTCAAACCGGAACACCTACTTCTGGGTTTGCAGCATTCAAATTTCAAGTAGTTCGTGAACTAAGCTGTTCAAAAACTGAGGTACCATTGTATGTTAAACTATCCTAGTACCTAGAGTCACTTGAGAATTCTAAGACACTGGAAAAAACAGTGCAGTTTTTAAAAATCAGTGGTTTAAATCAGTGTATTTATGAGTCCTGATTCCAAATGGCATCCCATTGTATCCATGCATGGACAAAAACTGCTCCTTGGTCTCAGAAACCATCATGAAAAATTTGTTGACAATAGCTAAAGAGGTGTCCAAATGCCTAGTGAACATACAACACCCTCCCAAAAAACCCCCCTTTTATATGAATGAGGAACCAGTGATAACCAAGTTCCGTTTCCAATAATAATGGATTCCAAACAACAAATGTTGATCATGGAAAATCCATTATTCATGAGAGTGAAATTACCTGCCTCTCTGCTCTATGATTGGGTGCCTCAATTTTAAAAAATCCCTTCTACTTTTAGAACGAGGCTGTGAAGAAAAGTCTGATGGAAGTGACAATTCTAATCATCATCATCAATCTTTATTACGGTCCAGAGACCTAACAAATCATTACAAAACAATATACAATTCATACAGCCTACCTCCAGGTTAAACAAGCATTTTGTTTAGAATACAGGGCTCATTTGATCTTGCAACCACCGATAAAAACTTTGCCACTGCTAATGTTCTAACATTTGTCCAGTCTTCCAGTAGGAACCTGACATAGTGAGCCTCTGATTTTCCCGGGAAAGGTACCAGCAAGGGTAGTATCAGTTCAGTCCTGGCTTGCTCATATTTTGCACAATGCAACAAAATATGTTTTATTGAATCGATGTCTTGAGCACACGAGCAAAGTCTGTCCTGGTAGGGAACTCCTCTCAACCTGCCATCCAACCCAACTGCGTCCCCAACTCCGTACTTCTGTTAGAAGCTGGAGACTGCCCAATTTCAACTAAAGCGTGGTGGGCTGCCTTAAAACATTGGCTCAGGATTTCAGTGTTTAATCTAGGGAAGGGTTTGTACCAACACCTGACCGATGAGGAATTTGTCAGCAAATG